TCAAATATTTTTTTTTTTGAGATTTACAAAATAACATTTTATTTGACATATTTTATCTTTCATTAACATAGTTTAATTTTGCAACAATAGTTCCATATTTTTACAAATTCGAACTATGTTTGTAAGAGATAAAATATGTCAAACGAGATGTCATTGCGTATATATCAAAAAGTTATGAGAAATAAAAAAATTAATTAATTTAGATACTCGAGTCAAAAGTTATGGTCTTCCAAAATTTTATGATAACGAAACTAACGAGATTATACTACTTAGCACAACCCTACGAGTGCCCCGGGAGAAGGGGCGTCACTCAATTGAAAAAAGAAAGAATATATGAGTGACGCAGGAGGAGGGTTGCGACACTCAATGCCGCTAAGTTCCCCTCGCGTCACTTAATGACCTCCATTGATAAATACAGTAAATCAAATATCAGATTGAAAAATTAAAAGAGTAAAAATCCCAAATGAATCAAAGAACCAATATAATCCTATACATACGGGGAAAAAGAGTTCTTATGCAAGAGAAGAACTATCTTCTTACGTCACTCACCGATCAATCTCAACGTGAGACTTTTTTTGAGAAAATATCCTTTTGGGTTCTTAATAAAAAATACATAATATATTGTTAATTCCTTAAAAAAAAGTCAACTTGCGGTCACTCTCAAATTCTAATTTTTTGAAACTGTGATTCCTCAGAAATTTAAAAAAAAACTCACCTTAGTCCATAAAAAAAACTAATATAGGTATTTTTTTTAAAGGATTAAAACGGATTCCGTGTTTTTTTGTTGAAAATCTAAAAAGATTTTTTCTTATTTTTTTTATGTGGGGCCCATTGTTTTTTGTCTTTGCCATAATCTTCTAACTTTTCCTTTGAGACAAGAAATAATCTGTTTATCTGATGTTGCATATCAGATAATTATATCATGCAACAGAAACAAGATAGTAAGGTTTATTATTTTTAAAAAGAAAAAAATAGAATAGTACATGCTTTAGGTGGCACAGTTTATTTTCCGATGACATTACCTGGACTAGAGTACATACTAGTGTTCATTACTTATATTAATATGTGTTTCACGTACTATAGAAATGATTTTAAATTTTGATAAAAAAAAAGTGCTTTCATAATTATAAAAAAAAATATACATAGCTGTTAAAAACGTGGCTTTCTTATGTATTGAGTATTAAGAATTTTTTTCACAAAATTCTCTTCTTATTTTTAAATTAACATACGAAGCACCTTTTTTATGTAAAATAATCACCAAACAACCCGTGATATCTAATTTTACATTTAAATAATATACACTAGCACTTACAAAATATTTAAATAAAGTGTTACTAAATAGAGTTAATCTTTTTTTATATCGAATATAATTATCCTTTGAGGCAAGTTAGCTTCAAGTATTTTCACAAATTTTAACTCTTTAAGCTACTTATGAAATTAATCTCTAGTTGGGACCTAGTTACGGTTAAAGCGTTTTGCCCCTCACAAAAAATGTATTTGGTGTGAATTGAATTCAGGTCCTCTTCCTAAAGCTAAGGATTTTGAATGAGATGCAAACATTATTTATCCTAATTCAACCATTACCATTTGTTAGCTGTGTCAAGACCATAACCACTTAATTTTTTTGGGAAAATTATTTTTGCAGTTGTGACAAAAATAAATTATCTGTCACATACACAAAAATGAAAGAGAGAGAAACTATAAAGGAGTGAGAAACTACAAGAGAGAAAGAAAAACTCTTTCTTAATGTGTCTGTGATAGATAAATTATTTATACTCACAAAAATAATTTTCCCAATTATTTTTCACTACTCATCTAGCTTGAATAGGTGATTAACAAACCACAGCATCCATCAAGTTTTAAAGTTTTATATAACTTTCACAAAATTTATTGATATTTGTCAACTTTCATAAATCCTTTAAAACTTAATTAAGTACTCCTTTCAATTAATAGATAGAAGATTGTTATATGCTTTTATGACTTTATTATTATATTGTCAAACATACTTTAGTTTTAATTTTTTTTAAAGTAATTATGAATCAGTTCTTTTAAGCTTGAAAATATTTTTATACTGTAATTAATTTTTTAACTTTAAGAAAAAATTCAAACAACTTTTTTAGGTTTTTACCAATTTCAAATTGATTAAACGATAATTAATCAGATAGTAAGTATAATATAACCACCCATAATATTATGTAAATTATTATTATTTGTGTTTAATAAGAAAAGAAAATAGTTTGATTTAATCAAATTAAAATGCATTAAAAAAATAAAAAAATAAAGTAGAGACATGTGCAAAGGGCAAAAACGGCAACACAACAAACACATGGATGATTTTTCACTATAACTTATTCACAGCCTGATTCACCATTATTCATGACTTGCTTCTAGAAGAATTCTATATCTAAAAATTCACTGCGGTTAGTCTAGTGACGTAGGGTATATGTTTTAGGTAGGGCCGGCAAAACGGGTTGAGCCCGCCGGGCTGGCCCGCCTCGCCTGCCAAATGGGGCGGGCTGGGTTGAGTTTTTCAACTCACCAGCCCGCCAAACCCGCCCCGCCAAATCCGCCAGCCCATATGGGTCAGCCCGCCAAGTCCTTTTTTTTTCTTCTTTTTTTTAGGTTACCCAATTGTTATGTAGCTCCGTATCTTAGATTTCTCTGCATGCAAGTGGCTTTTTTGAATTGTTGTGGACTGCTCATACAACACTTTGTTACTTATTTTGTTATTCTATTTTATCCTGATATGATTTTTTTTATTTTTTATTTTTGGAATGAAAGATGCATATTTATATGCAGATTATTAAACACTGATCTTCTTGGTTTCATAAGCACATTAGGATTTTATGCAGATTTTTGTATGCTTTTATGCAGATTTTTTTATGCAGAATTTAATTTTTTTTATTTTTTTTTTATATTTTTTTTATTTTAGACGGGCTGGCCCGTAACCCGCCAGCCCACTCATAAAACGGGCCGAGTTACTCCTTTCAACCCATTTTGTCAAAACGGGACGGGGCGGGACAGCCCATTTTGGGCGTGCTAGTGGCGGGCCGGGGCGGGCTCGCCCATATTGCCAGCCCTAGTTTTAGGTGTGTGTATTGTGTAGTATAGTGGTGTATGTTTAATTTTCATGTAATATAAAAAAAAAAGTTCGATACCTAAAAACAAATAAATTTCCTGAATAGGTAAAACTTTGAGAGGGCATTACCTCAAATAAAAAAAATAAAAAAATGTACTAGTAGTAGCAGACTAGCAGTTGTAGTAAGGTAACCCTCAAGACGAAAGAGCCCAGGTCGAAGCAAATTCCCGAAAAAACCTACCAACCTACACTTGCTAGTGATGTTTCAAAAAAAAAAAAAAAATCTCAATTTACCTTGTTACTCCCACTTTTTACCCTATATAAGAACAAGGGTAAATAACTTTTTTTGATTCCTTTGACCCGGTCGAGGTATCGGGTCACTGTTTTAACCAATGGGTCACTGATTCAATTGCATGACCTGGTGATTATATGTAAATCTATAATATATATGAAAAAAATTATAAACATACTCAAATAGCTAGGCAATATTTATGAAATTTTTTTTAGTCTCTGGCAATAAAAAAGGATCAAATTGGTCCCTAACAATATGTAAAAAGGGTTACGTTAGTGACGGAGGAGTTGACATAAAGACTAACGTGGCCCTTTTTTCATAATTTTAGGGACCAATTTGGTCCTTTTTTATTGTCAGGGACTAAAAAGGATTTCGTAGATATTACTAAGGAACAAAAATGATGTTTACTCTAACAATAAAGTAACGTTCAACCGAGTGGATTAAAACTCTGCTTATCATGTAAGGATTTTGTTGACTGGTGGATGATATTTAATTTATTCAGAAAAATTTCAAAAAGATTGGGGTGTCCTCCTAGTGTCTTGTGGAATATTGGTATTTAAACTCAGCTAAACATTTTGAATAAAAAAAAAAAGGAAAAACTTCATTTTTATTTATTGTGATTTTTTGATTTATCGTTTGATCTCATATGATTTTAAATTTATTATACTTAAATAATTTATTATTTAATTTATTATAATTTCAAATTTTCACTTAGATCCTTTGTGGTTACAAATATTTTCACTTAAAATCTTCATGGTTACAAAAATAAAAAATTTAAAATAATTTTTCCCTTTTTTTTTAGAACACCTCCTTTTTATTTTATATACCCACCATTGTATTTAAGGTTTAAAAAATTCACTTATTTTTATGAAGAAAATAATTTTTTTTTGATATGACATATTTAATTTAACTTAAATAATAGTTTTTTAATTCAAATATATTTTTAAAATAAATAAAATATTAAGATAATTTATAAATTAATTTCATAATAAATAACTTGAAATATTTTTTAAAGTATAAATGCGATAGAGGAAGATATAAAATAAAAAAGAAAAAATTTATTTTAGATATTTATTTTAAATATTATTTTTTAAATCACAAAAGGATTTAAGTAAAAATTTTCGTAACCGGGTCAACGTAAAAATTTGAAATCACAAAACGTTAAATAATAAATTATTTTAGCTCGTGGAGATACCGGAGGGAGCCAACTCGTCTCAAAGAGATAATTAAGGTTGGGTAACTCAAAAAAAAAAAAATGTAAATAATAAGTTTAAAATCATAAAAGATCTTTATAAAAAAGAAATAAAAAATCATAAAGGATCAAATAATAACTCACAAGATCACTGTAGCTAAATAAGTATTTTTCTAAAAAAAAACATTTAACATGAAACGACACAATAAATAAAGGGAATAACATAAACGGAAAGTAATATTTACATTTTTTTTTATAACCTTTTACAATCATATATTAATAATGTTGATTTTCGTCCATCAAAGTTATCATTTATTGTGATTAATAATTAATTAATGATTGTTCAGATATACAAAAAAAAGTTATAAAATAATCTTCCTCCTAACATAAAAACAAAAATATTCTCATTTTTTATTTTCCCACATCCTTCACCTTTCTTTTTTATTTTCTTCACTCGAAACACTTGACCGGAAAACCAAACCTTCTCAATTCCCTTATTGTTCTTCTTCGATTGTTCTTGCTTGTGCTCTTTCTGTTGTTGTTCCGTCGTGAGTGGTGGCGCTGTGTGTGTGTTCGATGGGAAAGTACATGAAGAAAGCCAAACCCAAAGGCGAAATGGCACTGGTGGACTCCACCACCACCACCACCTACTTCGGGGTTCGAACACGCGCCAAAACCCTAGCCCTTCAGAAATCCCAGCCTCAGCTCGAGCTTTCTCCGACCTCAGGCTCCTACCTCCAGCTTCGGAACCGCCGCCTCCACAAACCCCCAATTTCGCATGATTCTTCCAAGCGTCCCAGGCACCAAAACCCTAAATCCTCAATCCCTAGCCCAGCTTCGGGTTCCAGGCTCGGACTCAACGACAAGGACAAGGAGGAGAGAATCGTGAATGAGAATGTCGATGGGGATGGTGCTGAAGAAGCATGCTTTGGGGAAAATGTTTTGGATTTTGAAGGTAGAGAGAGGTGGGTCATCGTTTTTTTTTTTTTTTTTTAAATTATATCCTTTTCTTTTTTTTGGTGTCTTCAATTTTCTGTTCTCATTTTTGAATTTCAGTTGGAATGGTAATCTTTGTCTTTAATTTTTTTTTTTTTCTTTTTTTGTGATTCGTTTTGCAAAAAATTGTAATTAGTGGATTATCGTGGGATAAACCAGAGTTTTTACTATCATTCATTTTTTCCTGTCACAAATAATTAGTTTATCTTTGAATTTTATGGTCCGTCTTGGTCGGAAGACGTTGAGACAAAGCAGTACATGAATTCGAGACCGGACATTTCAATTTTGCTCTAGTTTTATTATGTTTTGTTCGGTTAAACATGCTTTAAAAGACAATTTTTTTTAGCAGTTATAAAACTTCATGTCTTGGTTCACTGCAATGAAATTCGTTTCATTTCCCAAATATCAGTACAAAAGATGATTGAATGTGGTGAGGTTTTATATTTTATCTGTTTTTATGTTCTTCTGTTTAAACTTTGTGATCTTCATCAATTATGCATGCTATTATTGTGAAAATTTCGAACATAATATTTTTGTAAAATTTTCAACCAGACTTTTTTATGAAAATATTTTCTTCATTGTCTTCTATCGTCTTTTTTTCTTTTCCATCTCAGGATTCACTGGAGAAAGATGTGTGTTTTCTTCTCCTACAAAGCTTTTATTATGTTTCCTAAATCGAAATGTCATTTGGTCATTTTCTTTTTACTTGTTCACCTAATATCCTGAAAATGCTTCCTGTTGATTTGATTATATAAATTAGAAAATAATCTACAGAATCTATTCAACGGGAATTATTCATTTTTTGTACCCTTTGTTATTATTGTTACTTTATTACCAGAACGTATTGATACTTTGTTACGGTAGCAGAAACTTCACCCCTTTTCTAATTTTGTGTTTTTTCTTGTTTTACCATCTAGTCATTGAAATATTTGACTAATTTATCTGTTCATGTGCAATTGGATTTGTAATCGTATAGAGATAATAATAATACTAACAATAATGAGATTACTAAATTCCTAGGTTTTTGGAGATTAATTTTAAAATTATTCTTTTCGAGAGAGAATTATGGGATATGTATTAAGAGAAGGATGATCTTATGCAATGTCCCTTTTCCTCCAAACTTCCAATATGTTTGAACATGGATCTATATGTTCTGAATCTTTCTAATATCTGAATCAGTATGTCCACAATGAAGTAATGTTACTCAGGTCAGCCTTGGATTTTAAGTAATATAATTAATGCCATTGAGGGCAGCCTTGGAGCAATTGCTCCTGTTAGAGATATATAAAACTATTAATATAGCCTCATCCAACAGCTTAAGCTTTTTGGTTGAATTAGTTTTTTACATGGTATAGAGCCTTGGTTCTTTACATGGTATCAGAGCCTGATTGTTACGGGTTCGATCCTCACAGCCCCCATTTATTAATAATTAATTATGTTTTGTGGAGTTTCTTAGCACAGGTAGGCTGGGTCTGATGTATTGTCCACTCTTCAAGTCCAATGTACTCTTGTGTGAGGGGGCGTGTTAGAGATATATAAAACCATTAATATAGTCTCACCCAACATCTTAAACTTTTGTGCGTACAATCAACCCTCATCCCAACTCTCGTAAAATTGGCCCTCGCTCCTACCCTCTCAAAGTCGGGTAGTCTTTTTGCACCAGGTTGCCTGTAATTTTTGCCTGGGCCCACTAACTCTTATTTATTTGTTATTATCTTAGTTTTGCCACTAAATAAAGTTCTTTTATGTTGCTCGTGTTTCTGGTTTGCATTACACTTGCTATATCTATTATTTGCAGCAGAAGCACTAGGGAATCCACACCTTGCAGTTTGATAAGGGACCCAGACACTATCAGGACCCCGGGTTCAACTACCAGGCCTACTTGTTCAACTGAAGCTTATCGAAGAACAGAGCATGCAACTCGAAGGCAAATCCCAACTGCTCGTGAAATGGATGAATTCTTTGCTGGAGTTGAAGAGGCTCAGCAAAGGCAGTTCATTGAGAAGTATGCTTTAGTTGTTTGATTTTCTTAGACAATGTTTATTACATCCCCCACAAGCTAATTTATATATTTCCCATATGGGTTCAATTGCAGGTACAACTTTGATCCTGTGAATGAGAAGCCACTCCCTGGGCGTTATGAATGGGAAAAATTGAAATCCTAGAAGGCTAGTGTTAGTGTTCCATCAAGACATCTTTGAAGTAGCAGGGTTAGAATATGTTGAAGCGGTGGTGGTGTTATTTCCATTTTCCATCACCTTCTATTTACTTGTAAAGAAAGTAGGGCTTTCAAAATGTGTAGACTAATGGTCTGTAACTTAACAGAGGTGATGATTACACAACAATACAAATCAAAGTCCTTTGTCTAACAGATCATTTAAGAGGGGCAAGGGAAGGGTCTGTAGGTTGTAGGATTAGGGATAAGTCAAATTAGGTCAGTATGAGGTACAGGAATTTACTTAGGTTTTATTTTGTTCTTGTATTTTACTTTTCTTTGTCTATACTTGTACCGATGGAACTCGAACAAACTCTGAGAAATAAAGACCCCATTACCCCATCTTAATGTCTGTCACTTCCTTTATCATCTCTGTGTTATGCTCTATTAAATATGGGCCATGTTTACTCGCGAGACACTGAATCTTTCATTTGTTTTAGATGATACTAGTTGTTTCTTTGGCTCTGTTTTAAGCGTCCTATAGTGGTTGGTGGGGCGATTCTAATAGTGAAAGGTTGTGTCTTCGCTTTTATCATGTCCTCACATATAATTTCATAGCTTTTAATAACCTGACAGACAATTTGCAAATTGTGGGAGACAAGATGGAAAATAATACTTGCTTGGTTTGAGTATCCTTCACCAAAAAGTTATGACTTGTAGATTATGTACTTACAAAATTTTGGAAGATAAAGTAAAGTGAGAATTTGAATCACAGTTATTGGACATGAAAGAAGTTTTATTTTTTTGCATTTTTTTCTTTGCACTTGATGGCGTAATTTCGGACCCAAATTGATCTTGTCAGAGTTCTTTCCAATTAACACCCTAGGAGGTTTAGTTTAATTAATTTAAAATGGAATAGTAGAATTATCAAACGATTGGGTTTTTTTTTTTTTTTTTAATTCCTTCTAAAATTCAGTCCAACAAAATAAATAACTGGAAAAATTAGTTTTAAGAAAACTGAAGTTTATGTTAGCCACCAAAGAGAGAAATCACTAACCAGTGTTTAACTTTCTTGAAGTTCATATTGTATAGTTATCAATATTAAAACATGGGATTGATGTTTTTCCTATAAATATGGGATAATTTTATCTTGAAACTCATCTTTTTTCTCTCTCTCTTTCTTAAAGGATTCCACCCACTCCCATATACATACAGAAGATAAATTATCTCATATTTGCAAGAGAAATATTAAACTCTTAAAACATACCAACAACATATATCGATGAGTTTCCCAATTCTATTGATAGAAGGTAATAACTACAATGTATTAATTTAGTTAACTAAATAACCATCAAATCTTTAAAACAAATTTTTTTTTTGGTAAGATTGATTGCTTTTTATTCTTTTGAGATTATTTTTTCATGAATTTCTCAGGATAATTTTAATTTCTAAGCATTATTTTTTTAAGTATGCATATCTAGATTATCATTAAGGAGCCTGTAATGCATAGGGTGACTGACATTGGTTCAGTCCTTTAGCGAAGACATGCCTATTGAGTGCCAATAAAATTTTTCATGATGTTTTGTTCCTGTGCATAAAAGTTTTGTCTTCTTCAGAATGATATGAAATTTCAAGTGAGCAATTGATTAAAGAGTTGAATAAAGCCATGCCAAAACAAACGAAACGCTGAAGAAAAGAATAAGGAATGGGAAACTACTAACACTGTTTAAAATGGAGCATTTAGGTTAACAAATGATGGTAACTCAGTTGGCGCATAAGAGCTGAGCAGATAGGATGAGAGTATGTGTTCGACAAAAAAAATCAGTTGGCGCATAAGAGCTGAACAGATAGGGTGAGAGTATGTGTTCTATAAAAAAAAAGTAATTAGTGGATTACATTTTTTTTTTTTGATATCACCTTTTGTTCATGGTAGTAGAATAATCAGACCTAATTTTTTAACTAATTAATTTATAAATTTTTTTTCTTCAATATTTTATCCTTCGGCAATGGTCATGTTAATTATGTGGTTTACTTTTTATTAACATGATATATTTAATGATATAGTATAAAAATAACTTTTTGCACCTAATATATCTAAGAATTTTTCATGTCAAAGATCAATTTATTATAAATAATATTTAATGAAATACTTGAAAACTAATTAATTAAATACTAATTATTTACAAATTATTTAATATACATTGTTAGTATAAAAAAATTTACATTATAAATAAATAATATATTATTGTACCATTTAGTAAATTTAATAATACATGAGTAATCAATTTTATCAAATAATGAGATAATAAATTACCAAATAGCAGTATAATCTTTTTAGACGGTAGCTGCGTAAAAAAAGAGTAAATATCCTCTTTGGTCCTCGGCAAATTTTATGATATCCACTTTAGTCCCTAGCAAATAAAAAGACCCATCGTGGTTCCTAAGAAATTCAAAATGAACCCATTTTAGTTCTTTTAGGGACTAATATGGGTCTTTTTTGAATTTGTGAGGGACCACAATTTCAACTATATGAGTCCATTTTGAATTTCTTAGGGACCACAATGGGCCTTTTTATTTGCTGGAGACTAAAACGGGCGTCGTGAAATTTGCTGAGGACCAAAAAGAATATTTACTCTTAAAAAAAATAAAATAAAAAATTGCACCAAAAATATGTTTAAAAATAACTGATTCCTTAGGAAATCTATTCACACTCCACCAAAATCGAGACTTTGTGATTGGAATAATGGTGGTTGTTGTTGTTATAGTGGTGGGTGGAAGATCTGCACATATGGTACTGTGTGTAGCTGAGGGATCTCCAATTCCCAATGAAAAATTCTTCCTCTTTTTGCAAAAATATGTGAAAACACTAAGAAAAGTTATTCTCTCCATGTAAATTCAAACGAGCATTCATGATTTGCTCATCCATTTGAAGACACTTGACAATGAAACAAACTCCTATATGATGCTTCCTTTGACTCAATGGGAAATGACACATAGGGTAACTAAATGGAGGACCCCAATGTTCATTCAATAATGGTAAAATCCTTTTGAACAAAATGGTGGAAAAAAATAGAGCAATCATTAAGTTTTAAAATAATTTTTTTAGAGCAAGAAAAGGGCTTTTTGACCCTTATGCCCCTTAATTAATAATTAATTACCAAATTGCTCTTCATTCAAAACTATTTCGAAAATTTACCCTCCCCAACAAACATAACACCAATCTGCCCCTGTTTGACCGTTGACCACGAAGCCTACCCGGTACACCATTACCTACCCGGGTAAATTTTGAAACTTTTTATCTACCCGAGTATGTAAGGGTGTACCCGGGTAGAGTTCTTGAATCTGGGAAAATGTTTGAATTATTTACCCGGGTAAGGAGCAGTGTACCCGGGTAAACATCGACGGTAGGGTTTTAAAATACCCCAGCAGCCCCATTTCGAAAACCCACAAAAAGGGTACCCGAGTAGAGCTGCTGGAGGAGTGTCTTCTTGAGCGATTTCAGGCATAATCTTGCACCAATTCGTCTTGTTTCTGATCATCATTCGCGGACCTTGCAACCTCTCTGCCTTCTACCGATTGAAATCGAACGTCAAGTCCGGAGCCTGACTCGAAGCAGCCTGGGGCTGAGAGGATGACGACCCATCGTGACGACTCTTGGTTCTTCTCTCGGAATGGGTCACTGGTAGCTTTGAAACGCGTCGAGAGGTCATTGTGTCACACTATTAAACTGAAAAAATAACCAAAATCAGAAATTAGATACATGTTAGGGTTAGGGTTAGGGTTAGATTCAGGGTTAGGGTTAGGGTAAGCGTATGACATACAAATTGATAAAATAATTCGGACAGAATCAAATGATATAAACGAAAATACAATGAATCAGAACAGAAATCATAACATAATTGAAAAAACTGAAAAAAAAATGCACCTTTGATCGATTTCAATCGGTAGAAGGCAGAGAGGTTGCAAGGTCCGCGAATGATGATCAGAAACAAGACGAATTGGTGCAAGATTATGCCTGAAATCGCTCAAGAAGACACTCCTCCAGCAGCTCTACTCGGGTACCCCTTTTGTGGGTTTTCGAAATGGGGCTGCTGGGGTATTTTAAAACCCTACCGTCGATGTTTACCCGGGTACACTGCTCATTACCCGGGTAAATAATTCAAACATTTTCCCAGATTCAAGAACTCTACCCGGGTACACCCCTACATACTCGGGTAGATAAAAAGTTTCAAAATTTACCCGGGTAGGTAATGGTGTACCCGGGTAGGCTTCGTGGTCAACGGTCAAACAGGGGCAGATTGGTGTTATGTTTGTTGGGGAGGGTAAATTTTCGAAATAGTTTTGAATGAAGGGCAATTTGGTAATTAATTATTAATTAAGGGGCATAAGGGTCAAAAAGCCCAAGAAAAGTGTTACGTGGAAAGTGGTAAATAGAGCGAATAATGATCTTACATAAAATTTCTAATTAATCAAACTCTAAATATTGTCTTAATGTAATTTAATTTGAACGTATCTTACAAAATAATTTTCATATTGTATTTTTTTAATACTCTGGATAGTATAGTTGTTTGACTTATTTTTAACCATTTTCTTACCGAAGGAGAGAGTAAGAGGTCAAATATTGTATTTTGTAAATAGGTGAAAGATTGCACAAATATGAGTTATTCACCGACTCATTCATATCTTTTATACCTTAAAAAATTACATTATTGGAGACTTATTTTTATGTGAGGTTTGGAACACCATTTGTTTTAGTATGATTTTATAATAAAATTACGTGGCCCTTACTAATAAATTGTTTCAAAATAATTATTAAGAATATATGTAAAAGGAAATCAACACATGTAACGAAAGTACATGTCGCTCAAGGTCTCCCTTCTATTTTTGTAGCTAAAATGGTTACTGAAAACAAACAAAAAATTCTGTAATACAAAAAAGAAATCAACGAAAAATAAAATACTAATTGTTATGGAATATTTCCATATCCTAACCACCTACCTAAGGATCTCTTAAAGGATAATTCTCCAATTATTCTAACAATATAAAACAGTAAGGCAGTTAAGGATAGAGTTCCTATCCCAACAGAAAGGAAGTTAAATCCTACTACAACTGGGAGATTTACACAAGCCCAAGAGGTAACCCTTATAAATAAGAGGTTAAAGACCCCAGGTATACAGTCTGAACTCATTTACTACTTCTGCCCAGACCCACGTCTCGGCTATAAGCTTATTGCTTGTGCGCAGTGATGGGGATATTGGCTATAAGCCAACCAAGATACCTATCCATAGGATATCTCTAGGTATCATTATACGGTTTAATAGAACCGAACATTGGCGCTGTCTGTGGGAAACGACAAATTTCGACTCCCATCCATGGTGGACACGCGCAGCATAGCAT